CCTGCAATCAGCGATTAAGTGAGAGTGAGTTCAGTTCAGTGAGCGTCTCGCTTAGATGCGCGTTTTGGAGCAACTCAAAGTAATGCAAACTAAAAAAGAGAAGACGACTCACTCACTGGAAGTTCTTCGCCTTGATGGAAATACGCCACCGGGACCATATGATAATTGCAGCGTATATTCTCGGATATGTTCCATTTGTGGGGCTTGTATGCCAGCACCGAGAAATTGCCCTCCGAATCGCCGTACTGATCGATTTTGATCGTCGAGCCGGTGACACCTGTTTTGGGCAAGAGAATGCAAATTTGTCGATCTCAGATACTCGATAGCCTTCTGGAGGGCGCACGAAAAGACTCACTCATATAAGTACGATTTTTGATGATGGTATCTATGACACGTGTTCCATTGCTGGCCACCTCAGAGATGACCTCATCGGTGAGCACACGCTCCTCCATGCGCAGCATTTTGTCTAGCGCCCAGGCATAGAGCTTGACCGAATCATACAGGTAGGCCGCATAGATCGATATGAACTGCAAGACAATAACCGATCTATAAACTTGCCTAATTTTTGTCACTTGGCTTTCCTTACCTTGCTGAATTTGCTTTGCGAGAAGAGCTGCGGCACCGTAAAGTTGAAGGGCGGCATCGAGCTATAGTTGCGCACCTGCTCCGTAAATTTCTCATAGCCTTTCGTCGGTGGCGTTGAGGCCACGACGAGCAAGCTGCGCGCCAGCTGATTGAAGTTCTCGGTGCTCTTGCAGTTGGTCATGCGATTGATTTGGTCTACCTTGCGCAGATACTTTTGTGCCTCACTGTGAACAGAGGAATTAGGCTCTGGAATCAAACATATACACATATATATATAGGCAGCTAATACTAACCGTTCCGAGTAGACCATCATGTCCACAAAGATAACCATATACTCGCCACGTGCAAACAGCCCAGCCGTATCCATCGAGCTCATGAAATCGATCAAACTATTCGCCGAGCCTAGAAACACATAGATACGCGTGCGGTTCATCGTATTTTGCACCACCTGTAGATGGCAATATAATATATAAGATATCTTCCGTTGGACTTCCTTTGGGCAAGACTCACCTGATACCAATAGCCCGAGCGGCAACAGGAAATCATCTGCTCACAGCATTTGGCGCGATCATCGATGAACGATTGCTTGTGATTGATGGTCATGTTCCTCTTGGACGCCTGATCCTTTAGGAGATCGGCAACTGTGCCCCACACCTCCTCGTACAGTATGGAGAACTTGTTCCAGGCGTAATAGCGCAGCAATGCAATTACCGATTTAACGACCTGCAACACGAATATCAACAATGTTATTGGATTACCCGTGAATGCCTTCAGATGCCAAACATCGCAATTGTTGCATGATTTGCGAGCTGTCAAGGCCAAGGCAGAATATATTATGCAGCTCAATGGCAGCATGCTCAAGGTTTCGTCACCTGTTGCTGGCAGGCGACCGGCCAACCACCCACCCACCCATCGCTCACACTCACCTGCGTATCGGGCGGTTCGGTGCGTGCAAATGTTGGTATCGAGGATGCACGGTTCTCTGCGCATTTCTATTAGAAATTTTCATGGGGCGGACGGGAAGAGACGACGGTTGCAAGAGAGTTAGAGGAAGAGTAAAAGAAATGCATTTAATTTGATACAGCAAACATTTGGAGGCAGCTGACACAGCGTGTTTGTTATGCCAGCACACAAGTTATATACTCTATATAAGAACATACATAGGATATCATTGGAATGTTGCGACTCTGCGAGACAATTGCTTCCACATAGCAGGGACCCTCCGGCCCGAATATGGTCGCAATGCCATCGCATATCATCTCGGTGATGGCCTTCGTTGCCAGCACCGTATCACCCTTGGTATCATTCCAGCGCAGCGCTAAGGTAACATTTGGCAGCAAATTTGGATCTCTGTTGATCTGTCAAGGAAACAGACAAGAAACGTTAACTAACTTTGAGAAGCATCTAAAATGTAATATAAAAAGGCACTGACTTGCCTATCAAGAGGTTTACAACTTTTTGAGAATCGCATAGAGGGGCATTAACAAAAATTTATTTCAATTTCAATAGATTTATAAAGTACATATTTAACCAATTAAACTTTTTTATATCTTCTAATTTTGAGTATATTCATCTTTAAATTGTTGAGAATCGCATAGAAGACCAAAGAGAAAACTTTTTTTTAAATTTATAATAAAGCTCTGTTATTCTAGAGCTTAAAAAACCTATTCTAGTTCAAGCTAAAATACGCAGCTATTTTTAAATTTTCTTGCAAACCAAATCCCATTTAAATTTGTTTTCTAATGAAACATAAATATATATTAAATTTAAATTATTACTAAAATAAATATTTTTAATTTAAGTTATGGCAATGTAAGCTACTTTACAATGCACAAGCAATAAAATAAACCTGAGCTTTTTGAACATGTTCAGCATTATAACTAATCCCTGGCGTACCTTGGAATTGGCCAGTCACTTTTTGAATACCCGTTTGGCTTAGGATTATAACTGCTCGTATGTTGTGTAACTTACCTCATCCAGTGCCATTGTCAGCGCACCGGATATGGCCAAGCCCTGGCGGTCCTTGAGCTCGCCAGTGAGAGCCGTCAGATAGCCAACAGTGAGGATGGTATGATTGCTACAGTCGCGTACTGCCACCGAGAGCAATAGTAGTAAATTGAAGGGCCAACGCGTCATGGCCCCTTAGGCCGGGGCCGTTCAGCGCGACGCCTATGGGTGCTAACAGATTTACACGCTGCAAAACAAAAAGACGAAAACAAAAAGGCATTAAGTCAATATGCTAAGAGAAGTTAAATGTTGCAAGTGGCATCAAATAATGTTGGGTAGTCTACCTAAGGATGTTCAAGAATTTTTGCTCATTTCTAATGAAAGTTTTATGTATTTGCAAATGAAAGAAGTTGCATTTAGGGACTAGAATATGAAACAATATCAAGAATTTGTATATTTTTTATGGAATTATAAAGCGAATCATAATGGATCTAGAGCAATGTCCTGCTTAATGGAAGAATGTGCAGTTAGAGTCAATGATATCAAAAATATAAATGCATTTTATAATTCCATAGACTTCTCTATGGATCTAAAGACTTCTTAGTCTATATGGACCAACAGGCCATCCTTTTATATGATTGTCTTCATTCCCATTTCTTTAATTTAAAAACTTTACACATATAATTCTCAAGTAGTTACAGCTTAAAAAGCCCATCAAAGCAGGAGTCACGTTCTGTTAATTATAGAGACGGGTTAACTAAAGAGACAAGCGCTATAGGTCTTTATACTTATACATCTAGAGGTATATTATGTATAAATATATATATACATATATGTAATATATATTGAACTAAATATTTTTGTTATAAAAGTATTTCCCTGACCTGTTAAGACTCGGCATTTCTTGTATATCTTATACAACATATGCATTGCTACAGGGTATCATTCATGTTTGACAAAGTTAAACATACACACCCACGCTCTCTCCCTCTCTCTCCCTCTTATGCTTTGTCTCTTTCTTACACTGCTACAAGCAGTCGTGTAAAAAAAAGAAAAGTAACGAAATTCCATTGGATTGCCGTACAAAGTGCAATATCCGGGCTACTTAGTCCAGCTGGTTGACAGTCAAATGTCAAAAGTTACACACACCCACACACACAGGCAGCCGCCCTCGCACACCCACTCCAACCCAGAGCAAGATACATGGAATGTCAAGTTAAATTTCACTCATGTTCCGTTGCCTGCAACTCAACTTTGCTAGATTTTCTTTTTGTTTTGCTTCGATACAGTTTATGCATCTTTCTGCGCTTAGCGCACAAGCACATTTGTGTGTGGGTGGGCAGCGTAAGGATATTACAGGCTTGCGGCTACTTTGCATTCGATATGCAATAAGGACGATATCCCGTTTCCTGTCGCCAGCCTCCCGCCCACCCGCTGCTTTGCCAACTGGCGCCCAGGCACGCGCCGCATTCTCGTGCATTGTTCGTTATTGCATTAATTATGCATGATCCGATTTACCTATTATATAATATTGCTTCTGACATTATGTTTCAGTCTGGCTCTGTCAACAGTTGCCCTTGCTGCTTATGCGTTAATTGCATTGAGTATGTTAAGCAATCAGCTGTGTTTTTGTTTTTGTATGCAATATAGTTATACTAACTAAATTTCTTTTGTCACTTTAGCAGTTAGTTTAGTTTAGCACACTTAATTGTTTAATGGTTCTCGCCCTTTCCTTTGTTGCTGCTACTCTTTTGAATATAATCCATTCAGACACATTTCGCAATTAAGTTTTTTATACACTAAATTCAGTCTTTGAATTATCATAGAATGCCCATACCCGTACCCGGCAGTACGGGTCTTGGCCAGCTCTATAGAGTATACACATATAATAGACTTGAACAGCTCTCTGTCTGTCCGTCTGTCTATCGTTCTGTTAATCTATCTTCCTATCCTCCGTTCGCAAACGTTTCTATATCAATAAATCAGCTTTCCATAAAGCTATTCTGGTAGCATCCTTAGAAGAAAGTGCATCGATAACATTTTTCCCTTTCATGAAATCGATTAAAATCGATTATATACTTCACGAATTTTATATACATACATATATATACACACATATATACGCAGTAAATTTGTTCAGGGTATTTCCAAGTCGCTCAGTGCCGACTCCAAGTAGTCTTTAGATTATTTTCGAATTATCAGCGGACCAACACGCCGCATGGTACGCGCTTAAGCTGTATGAGAAATGTATTAAGCTGAAATGAGCCATCAAAACATATTCCTAGAAAATATAGTTTGAATTGAGTTTTAAAAAATAATTTAAAAACGATGGTCTAATTACGTAGCGTGATTTTCTGCCAAATAGCGTATTCGAAGAAAGTATGTTGTAGGAGAAACATCTCGACGCAAAATCAGTCATTCGTTCAAAATTACATCCAGGGAGTTAGGCTATTTTTTTTAGACTCAGTTTCTCATTCAGTTTACTGTCCAGTCGCACACATCATGTTTTTTGTTTGTTAGAAATTCTTTTATTTTGTTGTTTTCCTTTCAAAATTTTTCGTTTCAACACTCCTCCGGCAAAAAGACACCCTAAATTCAATGTTTAGCTAAGTAAACCAACAAACGAGGAAGCTCGCTCTTGCAGTGCAGTGTTAAGAAGGTGACTTCTATATGAATTATGTGACAACAGCAGTACTAAAGATTGGGCCCAGCGCGCACGGTAATAATGCATGAATCGCTATTATCATTTGCATTCACACTCACATTCGCATTCACATTCACACTCACATTCACATTTGCAATATGACTTAGATTTTAGCAATCTTTTCGAGCGCACCATATCCACACCAGGATGGCCATACACGAGCAGATCGACAACCTCAACATCTGGTGGTTCCCACGCGACTTCTGCCAGTCCCGTTTTGGCGAGTTTCAACAGAGTGGCACCAATTCGTGCACTCTGATATCGCTGATCCTGGCCGATAAAGTGGGCAAGGCGGAAAGGTTCTATCATCGTGTGGGTGAACTGCCACCTCGCGGCTGGGAGCTATTCGGGAATGCAATGAACGATGGCAATAATGTCTATCACAATGTTATAACAGCCCATACGCCTTTATCGCGAAATCTGAATCTTAATATACCAGACGCAATATCGGCTATACGTTCACAGCAAAAGATGAACTTCCGGCTGGAGGAGTGGTTCTACACGCATATGGAGGCCGATCCTAGCAACCCCATGTATAATCGCAACGTTGCTATGCAGCTGTCTCGAATCTTTCAGATCACATTGCAGGTATTCCAACAGGCGGGCGGTGCTGGTGGTCGGGAGATGCCAAGCAATCTCTTTGCCGCGATTATTGCGGATAGCCGCACGGTGATGATGACCTTTGATTTTCGCGCATCAATAGTCGCTCTATTCGATTCTCATCAGCATGGCCGCGATGCTGGAGCTGTGTTCGCCCAGTGCACCATACAAAATATGGACGATCTACTATTCTGGTTCATTAGTATGCTGCACAATGTCTACTCCAGCCGGCCCGCCCTCTTCGAGATCTCGTTCTTGAGCTCACAACCGGGCGTGGCTAAGCGCATACCACCTGCCATCAAGAAGATTGCGAATGAGATTAAAAAACCCACCAAGATGCACTAAGAAAAGCCGAGCAATATCATATACATATATATATATATCTTAATCTCTATACATATATTTATATATGTTTATATATATATATATGATATATGTGTACTAAATATGATCATGTATTCAAATCACATGCTATGAGGCAAAAGAGTTTCCCTTGTTTGCTGATATCGTTCGGAATTCAAGAGTAAAAGTTGAAATTAAAGGCTCGAAAAACCTAAATTATAAACAACTAAATTCTAAACTTCAATCAATAAATTTTGTAATCTAATCTTACAAAAAGCAAGAAAAAAATCAACGTCTTTTTGTGTGTACAAGAAAACTATATCTATTAGAATTCTATACTATATGAAAAGTTCTTAAAGTTTCCTGCACATTCATTCTTAAATTATTGCAGGAAAATCAAGATCTTTATAACGGAGCTTTTCTTGTTGCCTATCCTACAACCAGCAGCAGGCATATTTACTAAGCGTGTCTTTTGTTGTGCTTTTGCTCGTCCGCTAATCAAAATGAGTTAAATAAACACATAACGTAACCTATTAAGAACTTGGTACGTGACAACAATTTAAATATTTTTATTGTAAACAGAGAGCGGAATGTGCGCCAACTGAGAGGCGAATAAAAGACCAATGGGCTAAAAATAGAACTCACATTTCAAAGAAAATATGAGAAAAACAAATCGAGCAAAACAAGAATCAAAAGAAACGAAGCAACTAAAAGTAAACTTTAAACGTAACGACGTCGACGGCGACGACGACAACGGCGGCTGCGACAACGGCAACGACGTGATAAAACGTTTAACGAAATCAAACACAAAAACAAATACAAATGCAAAACCAAATACAAATGCAAATGCAAATGCACACAGAGAGAGAGAGAAGAGAGTAAAAACAGACCAGACCAGCAGACCATTGAGAGCAGGCAACTGGAAGTTGTGTAACCACACCAACAATAACATCACGTAGTCGCAACGTGCAGCGACCACTCTCCCAATGCAGCTCTTCCTCTGGCGCACTCTGAGTGAAAACTCACACATACGCAACCACGCTAGATGTATGGTGCTCTTACTTTGGCGCTCTCGCAGCGCAACAAGTTGCAAATGTAATAAGTCGCTCGGTTCATATTGTTATTGTTGTTGTTGTTGCACTGCTTGTACTTTATTGTAGTTAAAGTTAAAGTTGTTGCTGCTGCCAGTCTAAAAATAAAACTTGTACACTAAAAATAGACACGACGGCACGCCATTGGATAAACTAACACGACATTACATATTTTTACAAACAAACATGACAAACCTCACGAACAGACAGCTAGTCAAAGACGAACGGAGCAGCAAGGGAAGAAGTTCGCTCTCACACACACATACACATGCAGACATATGTACGAACAAATGTACATGCAAATACAAATAGAAAAACCTGCGTGAGGCGACGAATACAACTGACTGCCGGGTTGTCAGTCTGATCAGTCTGTCAGTCCATTAATATGCATAAATACACGCATAGTCATGCACACATATACATACATGTATGTGTTTTATGTATATTTGTTTGTTTGCTTTAAAGCCCTATGGCAGTTAAAGCTTTATATTTATAATTTAAACACAGCAAAACAACTTCCGCCTTTAAAGTTGTCACAACAAAATCGAAATTTCGAAATCAAAATTAATCGAAAATCGAGAAGCAAAATCAAGCATTATTTGATAATGATTATCAGGCTTTAGAAATAATTTAATTAATAAATATATATGTTAGTAAACCACTCGAGAATGCTGTAAAAGTTTACTGGCCTAGCTTTTCTCACTCCGAACATTACTTAATATGCTTGTGTGTTAAACGGACAGGACTTTAGGCATCTCGTTCAATGCCATCAATCATCAACAAGTTTACGCCCACCACAAACAGCCACGCCCCAGCGCCAGAGCCTGCTATCGAACATTGTCAACGTAAAATGAAGCCGACGCTCAAATGGCCAGCAAACCGACGACCCAAAACGAGCAAAGGGTTCGAAGGCCATTTGGTGTAGCAAGTGCGGCATTATTTTATAGGATTATGAGACTCCAGAGCGTGATTTTGGGTGACAGTTGTTTGTTGAAGCGACAGCAGCAGAGCAAAGTTCGACTTGCTATAATTGACGCGTTGAAGTTTTCATAATTCAGGAACTGATATCAAATGGCCAGTTGCCAGTGTGTTGGGTCAGGACAACGAAAGTGAGCGTAAACATTTGCTCCTTATAGACCTGAAGACAATGTCGCAACGCTTGGCAGACCAGCTTGACAACATTCAAATCAAATTACAAGGCAAACGAACTGTTCAAGTGTTGCGAATGTGTCACACCCCCTCAGCCTCCCTTCGTCTGAGGACTATGCCAAGCAGAACCCAACCAAGCAACCTGAATCTCTGCCCGACCCTGAACCAGTCCTCTTAGCCATGATGCAATCATTGCCTTGGGCCATTGGCCCCGCTTCGAACACATTATTTACAAATGATACCCATTCCATGCCCCAACCCAATCCCATTGCCATTCCCTATTTCAATTCCCTTCCACATTTGCCCAATCTCCGTTCTCCACTCTCAGCGCAGACAATCAGTTGATTAGAATATTGTTAACAGCGCCTGAAGCTGTAATAAGATTTTGCTTCTTCTTTTTCTACTTTTTTTTGTCTTGCCCCTTACCCAATTGTCGCCAAATCAAATGAAGACAACAACTAAATTAGATTGAATTAAATGCAGTATGGGACTATATATAAGAATATTTATATATAAGATATATTTTTAAAAATTTTGATGTATTCAATTATTTAATATAGCTCTTAACATTTAAGTAAGTATAACTTTTTTTTTTTAATTTTATTTCAATCTTCAGAATTTATTTTTATTTATTCGGTAAATATTTTCATTTTCTATTTTCAATATTGTTTGGTTTACTCTAAAAATGTTATACAGAACATTTCAAATATATATAGATATAAGATCTGTACACCAGCATTTTAAATGGATTTACATCTTTTATTGGGAAAACAATCTGCTTTCATATGGCGTCACTTGCACAACTCCAATCACATGCTCTGAATATTTTGCTGAGCTAAGGAAATTCCGACAGCACAATGTCAAGGCTGTTAGCGCTGAGTGGGTGTGGCAAGTGGCAACAGGAGCAAATAACAAAATAAAAAACATAATAATGAGAAAAAATTTCACTTTCAAACGAGTGACAACAATGTAGAAGATAGCGGAGACTCTCTGACAGCGTTGCAACTTCAACTTTAGCGGCAACAACATGATGATGATGATGATGATGTTGATGTTGCTGCGCGACGAGCGCCGCATGTTGCAGTCTTAAATGGTGCTTGTTGTTGTTATAATTGCAACGTTTTGGCATTTCAACTGCTGCTGCTACTGCTGCTGCTGCTGCTGCGGCTGCGGCTGCTGCTGCCTAAGGCTGAACTAGAGAGTCATTCAAGTCATTCAAGTCATGCAGTTCATTCAGTTAAGAAGTCCATATCGAGCTGCCCAGCAACAGCAGCAGCGCCTGTGTGAAAGTGAAGGGCGCTGAACTGAATGACAAACTCATTGAATGACAGCCAGTGGACTGGATGGGATTTGAAATATTATTGGAAAATCGTATCTGTATCTGTGCAACAGCAAAATGCAACATGCAAAAACATTGGACTCTTCAGATTGCTGCTGTTGTTGCCAAAATAAAACTGGATTTTCTAAAAATAGCTGCCATGGGTAAATACTTGAATCTGCACCACATGCGCAACGGCCGCCAAAAGCCAGCCAGCTAGTCGGCTATCACTGCCTGCTGGCCAGGACTTTCAGTGAAAAGGGTTTTGCTGCATGGGTTTTTTGTGGTCCGTGCGGCAAGCACAACAGACAGGAAATACAATTTCCGTTATTGGCCCAAAGATTTCATCACCGCATACCAAACAGCGCAGCAGCAAAAATATGTTCGATAAAGAAATTCCTCTATTCATTGAAATGCTGCCGAACCTATTGAATCTATTCCAAGAGATTGAAGATTGAAGAGCGTAAAATTGAGAAAAATTACTCCAAATTCAAGACAGTTTAAAAGTTAAAAAAAAAGAAAAAAAAAATAAATAATTTAAGAATTTGATTTAAATTTTGCCATTAGCTAAGTTAACTTTGCTCAACTTGTATGCAATCAGACATAGTTCTGCAAAAACAGTGAGCCGAAACCGCAGTGCTGCAAGCCGCAAACAATAAACATTAGAATTTATATTACGTATACGCCACATTGAACGAGTTGGAGATTTACGCTCATGTGTGCTTCGGCTTGGAATGCTGCTGGCAGGTCACTCACATTGGCCAGCAAAATAATAATAATAAACTTAACTAAAAACTGACGCTACACTGAGCGAAAAATATTTGCAAATTCTGTAAAAAGCAGTGAGAACATCGCAAATGAATAAATTCATTTTTCTCTTTACAATTATAAATTATTCCTCCACAAAGAAGAAACATATTCATTTTATCCTTTTTAGACATTTTAAAGAATTTGAACATGATTTATGCTCTGTTGCTTGAATAGTTTGCTTGCTTTAAGTGGAGCGCAAAAAACTAGTATGTTTATTAATAGGTATATAACAGATATGTGCATACACACGTAAATATATATATTTATATATATATATATATATGTGCGTATAGTTGGACATTAGTAATATTCATAATACCAGTTAAACCACTTTGCGTGCAGCGGCAGACAGTGCGGCAGCCAGACCAAAAGGCGAGACGACGTGGCTTGATAAACGAAGAAGGGGCAGCAACCTGCCTGGGAACTTGTTAAGACCCATCAACAGGCAACGCTGGCCAGCAGCCACCCAGTCACCCAACAGGCAGCCAAGGCAACCACCAGTTGGCACATTAAATAGAGGAGAGTAGCTCTCGCCTGCTGACTGGCCAGACTGGCTGCTTGCGTTTGCTCTGATGCCTGTCGCAAGTGAAAGAGAAAACAAATCAAAGACAAAAACAATGGCAGCCAAAGTAGTTCTCCAGCTGTCATTGATAATTTCAATTACAGCACAAAGATATCTCTTTCAAAAGGACGTTTAGATAAGGCAGACGTATCATTATCATTTGGCTTAAACTACAAACGCTTTAAGAACTGCAGCTGATTGTTGAGAGTCTCTTTCCAGCTATTGTATCCCAACTCTTTGCAGTGCCTGTAACTGGGGTCTGCTTGGTTTCTTCTTCTGCATGAGATTCTAAACGATACGCTTTAATCTCGAAACTAATATCTGTTATTCATTGACTTGGAGCTTCAGCTTTGCTTGG